TTCTGACTCTGACACCAGCGAACAAGTCGGCGAGGACGCGCAATTAGAAGGCTGTGCAAAGGACCAGGAGCTGAACAGGGAGATTGACTTGGCATTTGAGCACATCAACCCTGATAATTCTGACAACCCTTCTACTTTTGGCCGAGTAGACTTATCCGTTCCCGAGGACGATATTTTCATCGGTTTGAAGGATCTACCAAGGGCCGAATCGGAAGCCAAAGAGATAGGAGGAGAATCTCTCACCCAATTTACCAGAAGACGGAATGTCGAAAGGATGGCAGCCAGGCAAAAAGGCGGCGGTTCTAGGGGGAGTCGAGTAACTCCAACAGGTGAGGTTCCTCTAAAAGGGACAGCCAATCGAAAGATTGTCACCGAATTGGCTCTTCAGCCACAGACAGAAGTTATTGAAGCCGATCTTCAAGGGCAGAAACGATTTGCTGAGATAGGCCCCGACCCATCTGAGGCGTCGATTGATAAACGACCTAGATTAGAAATGCTGCTCGTGACTAATAGTTTATTCGAGCCATTCATCATTCAGCCACGAATGAAGAATTCGTCGATTCCATCTAACAAGTCAGCCATCAAAGACCTGGCTGTGGCCCTTAGTCTGGCTTTGACTCTCTCGTTTCCAACAGACAAGGCAACTTTTCGTGCCGAATCAAATGTCAATGCGATTGCTCTGGCAGCGCAATCGGCCATACTGGTAAGTTTTGATAAAATGTCTAACTTTGTAAAATATCCTTTTGAATCCGACTAAAGTCTTGACTTTATTGATGTCAGACGGCAGGAAGGATTGTCGAGATCGGTCGACGGCATTACGATGCCATAGAGCGACTCGGTATACTTGAAGGCCAACTTGAAGTTGAGACACGCAAGGTGGTTAATGCAGTGGTCGATTTGTCCGTGGCGACGGCTAAGGCGGAGGAAAAGCAGACGAAGGCCGTTGCAACTGAGGAAAAAGCGCAACACGCTGACTTGCTTCGTAGGGCTGCTGAAGAAAGGGAAAATTGGATAGACGATTCCCTCAAATCGGCTCAAGAGGAAATATCAAAACTTAAGGCCGACCTTGAGGTGGAGAGAAAGGCGAAGAAGCTTGTTGCGGCGGATGCGGCCAAGGCTTTTGCCGCCAGAGAGCTTAAGGCTAAGGAATTATATGCTGATGAAGCCGTGAAGTTCGAGAATCGAGGTTTCAAGCATCGATGGCTCAAAGCTTTGCCGGCCACCAACGTGACTCTTGATCAGTTGATTCCCAACGAGCAATTGGAAGTTAAATCGCTGGAATCAGATCCAGAGGAATTCGACTTTTGAGCTGCCGTTTTTGTAATAGATATTTTTGTTTTCAACTGTTTACTTTGATCGGTCGTTTTTGTAATAGATGCGTTAAACGATTTAGGCATTATACTAGGGCCATTTTCATGTATAAAGTGTCGATTGTACCCGTGCAGTTTATTAATGAAAATGTCCATTTTGCTTATAAATCTATGAGTATGCCTTATTTGGTTAGTAATAATAAAAATAAGAATAGGAATAATAAAAATGAGAAAATTACCAAGTGGGGCAATTGTACTAATTCGGTAGATACATGTTAAAGCCGAATCGATTAATAAATCTGCTCTTGCCCCAGCATATCACTGAGCGTAGCCGCCGAACACAATTTGAAGGTAGCTTATGAGGTCAGATGGGGCACCTGTCTGAATTCAGCAAAACTAATGAAGAGCCGAATAGATTAATAAATCTACCATTGCCTCAGCTGATCACTGAGTATAACCGTCGAATACAGTCCGAAAGCAGCTTATGGGGTCAGGTGGGGCACCTGTCTGAATTCGGCAAAAATAATGAAAAGCCGAATATATTAATAAATCTACCCTTTCCCCAACTAATCACTGAGCGTAATCGCCAAATATAGTCTGAAAGAAGAAGGGGTCAGATGGGGCACCTGTCTAAATTCGGCAAAACTAATGAAGAGCCAAATAGATTAATAAATCTGTCATTGCCCCAACTGATCACTGAATGTAATCGCCAAATACAGTTTGAAAGCAGCTTATAAGGTCAGGAGGAGCACCTGTCTAAATTCGGCAAAACTAATGAAGAGCTTAATAGATTAATAAATCTGCCCTTATCCCAGCTGACCACTGGGTGTAACCGTCAAATATGTAGATAGGCGAAGAGAGCGAACGCTTCGTAATCGTACCCGCAATTAATATGCAGGGTAGCCAGGCACGTATGGGGCCTGTGGACTCTTTAAATAGACGCTGGTAAGAGTGTGACTGATAAAAGGAATACTGGTGCGACCTCAACAATTACGTACGTCTAGCAGAGTATTCTTTAACAGTAAAGGCGAGGGAAAAACACTAGTTGATCTAGAAGCACAAATGAATCACGGAACCGGTGGAGAATCTTCTCGTACGAGTAAAATGGCGTCGGAGGAACGAGAGAGATGTTGATCCCCTTATTGTCAAAGCAGGTCCTTAAGAGGGGGTGAGGTAGAAAAATCACCCAGGAAGGGGGCGCAACAATGAGGGAACTTTAGGATTGGGAGTGCCCATGCCTCAACACGAAACGAACCAACTAGGCCACCACGCCCCCTAAGTTTTTCAGTGTTTGTTGGGAACAAACCAATAATCGAGGCAGATTCAATTATTCGTGATCTGAACATGACAGTAGAGTTTGCTAGGCAAATATTTCCACCCAAAATACAGCAGTCAATGGTTGGTCGGGCTGATTACGAAATTTTTTGAGAGGATGTCCATGAAGCGGTCAAAGAAATATATAGTTCCTATGAGATATGCATACGCCTTCACGCCGCACGAAGAGAGATCGAATAGAAAGACAGCCCCATTCGGGACTTGGAGCGCCGCGCAGAAAAGGCCGAGATCGAGCTGAGAAGGCCAAGGCTATCGAGACGCAATCGGCGGATCAAACGAACCCGGTTATGACGAACAGAGTAAACTAGCATCTGCTTGATCATACCATAGCCGATCGGGACACAGCAAGCATGTTCGCAAAAGAGGTGATAAGAACGCGGGCCTATGAGCAAGGCTTTTTCGACGGCCGAAAGATCAGCATTGAGAAGACCAAGGAAAGTTAGCGGATGACATTTGTTGATGCGAGAATTGTGACATTAAGCACAGATGGATTAAGGCTTTGCAAGCAGCGGGTGTCGATTCGGCGTCTTCGTTGTACCAAAATTACAAGTTCCCCTTCAAGGCTTATGAGACCGAAAAGACTGATAATGAAGAAGAAAGTGTCGAATAGGAAAAGGCCTAGATAATCAGAAAGACATTGTATTTCTTAGTCTCTGGTACCCATGTATTTGTATATATTGTTGTAAAGAATAAATATCCTTTGTGCGTACTTGTTTGATATTTTGGTTGTTCCTGTCAGAAATGTATGTTTGTGGTTCCATGCTATCTTCTTGCTCTTGGTCTTTTAATGCACCTTTAGAATTGTTTTTCGATTAACCGTTGCAGTTTAATTACAAACTTTTACTAATTTAAGCAATGCTGATCTAATAAACCTTGCAATGAACACTCCGAATTCGGTGCCTATCATGATAATGCACGAAAAGTGCTTCAAATTCGGCGTCTCTGCTTTGGCCAATCGTGATCATGCATGAAAAGTGCTCTGACTTCGGCGTCTCTGGTTTTGCCAATCGTGATCATGCACGAAAAGTGCTCCGAATTTGGAGTCTTATTCGACCGATTGTGATCAGGCACGAAGAGCGCTCCAAATTCAGAGTCTTATTCTTTGGTTTGGCCAAACATGAGCATGCATGAATAGCACTCCGAATTTGGAGTCTTGGTTATGGCCAATCGCGATATACACAAAGGATGATCCAAATTCAAAGGCTTTTTCGGCCCAAACGTGAGCATGCACGAAGGGAGCTCTGAATTCGAAGTCTTGGTTATGGCCGATCATGATATATACGAAGGGCGCTCCGAATTCGAAGACTTTTTTGGCCCAAACGTGAGCATACACGAAAGGCACTCCAAATCCGGAGGCTTATTCGGCCCAAACATAAGCATGCATGAAGGGCACTCTGAATTCGAAGTCTTGGTTATGGTCAATCGTGATATACACGAAAAACGCTCTGAATTCAGAGGCTTTTTCATCATTCAACCATTTTCAATGAGACCGCAGTAAAGAAAGCATATTGTATTATGGAATACATAGATACATACATGTTTGTATAACAGTAAAAATCAAAAACGAACTAGCATGTCGTACAAGTTGGCTTAATGATAAAATTTACGCAAGTGGATCAAATTCCAGGGGCGTGGTAAACTTCTGTCAGCCATGTCTGAAAGCTTATACGCCCACGTCCCGGCAATCAAATCAATCTGGTAAGGACCATCCCAGTTGGGGCCTAATTTACCGTGTGCTGAATTTTTAGTAGCAGGAAGTAGGGCTGATCGCGGGTCGGTTTTGTTCGGGTGCGGGTCAAAACCGACCCGACACGCACACATGCGGGTTGGAGAAAACAGACCCACAACCGCCTGCGGTGCGGTTCGCGGGTTGTTCGGGTGGGTCAGTTGGTTGTGCGGGCGGGTGCGGTTCGGTTTGCGGTTTGGGGTTTGGGCTTTTTTTAAATTGGGCTTAGTTATGATATTAATTTGAACAAATTTGACATGTTTGGCTACTTTTTAAGCATTTTTTTATTATTTATGGAAAAGTTATAAATTAAATTTCATGATAACATAAATGCCCATATAATGATATAATAAATTTTACATTATTCCAAAATACAGAAATAATTGATAAAACTAATTACAAACTAAAACATTAAAATTCACACTAAAATCAATCTCCATCCATCCATAATCCAAAGCTTACCTATTAATCCAAAATGCAAAAATAATAATAATAACTAGTTAGAAACTAAAATAAATTAGTTTTCATCCATCCATCCATCCAAAATCTAAAGCTTACCTAAAATTTAGTGCTCCAATTAATTTTACATTCATCCAAAATAAAACAAAATAATAATAAACATTAGTTATAAACTAAAATAACATTGTCTACAAACTCCATCCAAAATAATTTGAAAAGGTGGTATCCATCCAAGGCTTCACTAAACTCTTTAGGTCCATCTTCCAATGTCCAATCTCATCCAACAATCTGCCAAAAAAAATTCCAATGAGCCAAATTAATAAATATAAATAAATAGATATGAATAAATAAACATTAAGCTGATCTCAACTAATTAGAAAAATCTCAGACATGAGCCAAATGAACATTAAAGTTCAATTATAGCATCTACATTAGACTTTGGGGTTGAAGAGGAACATGGCTCCAAAGTACCTAAAAGCATGAGTCAACAAGAGAAGATAAATAAACTTGCATAGCAAAAATAATAATAGACATAAAAATGAAGAGATATTCACATATTACCCGAGTCGTATTGCTCAAATTCCTCCACATCATCCATTGCTTGTCGAAGAGAAATTGGAAGGTTGCTTTTAAGCCAATTTTGTGTGCATACAAGAGCTTCAACCATGGAAGGGGCAAGTGAACTACGGAATGGATCAAGGATACGTCCCCCGGTACTGAAAGCTGACTCCGAAGCAACGGTAAAAATGGGCATGGCCAACACATCCTTTGCTATTTGAGATAACACTCTATACTTTGTTGCATTATTCTTCCAATATTCCAATATCTCAAATGTCTGATTTTTTGCAAAATGTTCAACCTCGCCCAAGTACTTGTCTAATTTCGACTTGCTTCCACTAGTGAAGCGCCCTTCCAAATATGAATTAAATTGGGACTCCATTTGAGAATCCAAATCATCCTCATCAATCACCATTGTCTCCACTTCAGTCACCCTCGAGACACTCTCATTTGATGAATAAATTGTGGCATAATGGTTGTACAAACGAGTCAAACAAGAAACAATTTTGTTCACCATCTCATCCACCTTCCTCTTTTCTCCATGAAATATATTTGTAAAACAAAACTCCAAGTATGCTATCTTTTTTGTAGGATCAAGAGCAACAGCAACATACAACAACAAATTAATCTTATTTCCATCCCCCCAATATTTGTTGAACTTTTGCTTCATACTCATAGCCATTGTGCACAAAACATCATCATTGTCCAAAATTAATTGATTAATTGTGCTTTCAATTTTAAACATCTCTTTATAAAATGCATTGGAAGTAACAAAAAGGGACCCGGAAAATTTCTTTGTTGCAAGGTAGAATAGTTTTAAAAATCTCACAAACAACCTACATTTTTTCCAATCCTCCTCATTTGGAATCCTCCTAATCCCACCATCAACATCCTTGAAGTAAGTTTCAAAATTGGAGTCTTCATACTTCAAACGGTTAAAAGCCTTCTCAAACTTTTCAGCAGCCTCCAACATTAAATATGTGGAATTCCACCTTGTTGGTACATCTAGGCATACAAGAGCAGTAGTCACAAGTTTTAGATAGGCCGCACACTTCTTAAAAGCATCTTGCCGATTAGGAGAAGACCTCACATACCTAACCGCAAGTCTAATATTTGCAATAGAATCATCCATTTCTTTCAATCCATCACTCACAACAAGGTTTAGAATATGTGCACAACACCGCATGTGCAAAAACTCATGCTCCAAAATGGTCCCCTTCCAATCTTTGGTATTCCTTCTCAAGTATTGAATGGTAAGATTGTTGGAACTAGCATTATCAACAGTTACAGTGAAGATACTATCGATGTTCCACTCAAGCAAGCACAACTCAATTTTTCTACCCAAAGTTTCCCCCTTGTGATCTTCAACTTGTTGGAAGTTTATGATTCTTTTTTGTAGTTTCCAATTATCATCAATGAAATGAGCCGTTAGACACATGTAACACAAATTTTGAATAGAAGTCCAAGTGTCCGTAGTGAAGCAAATTCTACGACCCTTCATCAACCTCCTCAATTTATCCTTCTCGTTGTTGAATATGTTTGTCACCTCTCTTGCTATGGTATGACGAGATGGGATTGGTGTGAATTTAGGAACGGCAACATTACAAAATCTTTTAAACCCAACTCCCTCCACAAATCGAAAAGGTAACTCATCAATAATCACCATCTCGGCAAGAGCCCTTTTACAAGCCTCAAAACTAAAACTTGTTGCCACAACCTCAACACCCTCTTCGACATTTTGTTTTGATTTAAAACTCAATGTTTGTTGCCCATCTTTATCATTGTTTGGAAATTGTTTGCAATTAGGGGTATGACTTCTCAAATTACTAGTCCCATGAGTCCTAGAATCGGCCATATACTCTTTAAAACAATACTTACACACTGCTCTACGTTTCCCATCTTCTCTTATAACCTTATCAAAATGGTCCCAAACCGAGGATGGTGCTCTCCCACCACTACTCTCACTCTTTCTTTTGTTTGGGGGTTTAGGAGGCTTAGATTCAGATGGGGAAACATTAGTTTGAGAATTAGATGATTCTGGTGGAACAATAGGGCTTCCGGTAGATTCAAAACTAGCATTGTTTTCTTTATCCATTCAAACTGGTAATAAAAAATTAAAAAAGTATGAGATAACAATTAAGTCATGGATGGTATTAATAATTGAATCTAAACCATAACAATTCTAGCAAAAGCATCAGCTATTTTCAACATGAAAATAAAATAAATACGATCTTATAAACTTGAGTCTTATAAAATAAACCATCCACATCTCATTCACCATTTTTGTTTTCAAATTTCTACTCAAGTTTATAAATCAAATAAATATAGTCTTATAAACCTTATTAATATTATGAATGTGACCTACATGCTACCAATTTTAAATTCACAATATACATATGAATTATATATGTTATAGTTTTTTATTTGTCGAGAATGAGTATTCAATAATTTTCCTACTTTCATGGATTAATCATTATGGTTCGTTCTCCTATTTATAAAAATGATTTAGAATAATTCCAATGGTAAATGTAAAAATAATTTTGCTAAAGTGTAAAGAAAATATAACCAATTCTCATTTTTGGCTATTATCAATTTTTATTTTATTTTATGATATTGATTAGTTGTGTTGATGTGCAAAGATTAAAGTTGTGCAGGGATTTGCGAAAAAATAACAAAATAAAATAAAGTAAAGAAAAAAATTATATGAACAAAGGAATGGAATGGATACAAAATACAAACAAGATTTAAAGAATTTATTAATGAATTAAATTTTAAAAAAATTTATTCGATTACATGCATTAGGTGCCTGATTTTTCTCTTCCTAATAATTTTTTTGAAAAAAAAAAGATGGGTACCTAAGCTTCAACCGCAGCTTTGTGAATTCGTATATCCTTATCAACCTTATTAATCTATTCATCTTTTGAAAAGAGAGGGAAAAAAAATAGAATCCTAAATTAGAAAACAAAAAACGTAATGGAAAAAAAAAAGATTAGGGAAGTGAGGTTTTATTTTTGTTTCAGGACATGAAGGATTCCAGGAACAGCCTCAGAAGATACGATGATGCATCTTTACTAGAGATTCTCAATAAAAAAGTTAAGTTGGAAGCATTTTTTTTGAAGAAATTAAAAATCTAGTGTATTTTTGAAAAATAATTATATATGCATGAAAAAATTTATGACTTTAATAATTAAAGTTATAAATTTTATTATTAACACTACACTGATTTGTTATCTCTCTCTCTCTCTCTTTATTTTTTTATCTCTAATTATCCGGAAGAACAGTTGTGAGAATTAGTAGATGATTGGGAACCAAGCATTTTAATCAAAAAATTTTTAATTAAAAAGTCACAATAAATTATTAAATTATTTTTTTTACTTTTATATAATTTTTTCTTAAAATATTAAAAAGTGACTAAAAAATCAAACTTCCAAACCAGCCCTCAATATTCCTGTCTTTGTGCGTGTACATACACCATGCAGCATTTACAGCCAGCCAGATCACACATGTTACATCTCTTTTTCATATTATTTTATTTTTGTTTGCAAAAGCATAAAATACAAGTTTCAGATCCACATCTAAGTTTCAAAAATCTAATGAAAGCAGATCCACATCTAAGTTTCTGCAGATCCACAAATTTCAAAAATCTGGCACACCCAAGTTTCTGTAGATCCACATCTAATTTCAAAAATCGAATGAAAAAGAGACAGAGAGAGAGAGCGAACCGTATAGGGCTGTGTTGCTGCCGATCGCCGGTTGATTTGCTGCTGCCGATCGCCGGTTGCTGTGCTGCTGCCGATCGCCGGCTGCTGCTAGCTAAGAAGGGAAAATACAAAAGGGGGAGAGATGAGAGAAATAGACGGGCTGGGTGGGTTCAGGCTGCGGGTAGGGTAATAAATAAAATAAAGGTTTATTTTGTAATATATTATATATATATATAAATTATAATAATACGCGGGTCGCGGTTTGCGGTTCGGGTAGGGTCAGAACCGCAACCCGACCCGAACCCGATTTTTGGCAGAATTCTTGACCTGCACCCGCCCACCTACCTATATCGAAACCGCCCAAAAGGCTGCGGGTAGGGTAGGGTCGAGCGGTTTGTGCGGGTAGGTGGGTTCTGTGCCCAGCCCTAGCAGGAAGCACTTTCTTGAGGACTAATTCTCCAGGTGCATAACGACGTAACTGCACACGTTAGTTATACGATTTGGTGAGCTGCTGCTGATACAACGCCATGCATGCACGCAAGAACACGATCTCAGCATTTCTCAATCAAAGTCAGATCCAAGGCCAACATCATGTTATTACGCCCCATATCAAAAACCTTTGATTTCAGTGTGGGCAGGCCAATTTCAAGAAGGATAATAGCCTGTGTCCCAAAGCACAAGGCAAACGCCGTTTCTCTAGTAGACCGCCTCGGAGTAGTGTGATGAGCCCACAATACACTAGGTAACTTTTCAGCCAACTTTCCTTTGACCTTCTCCAATCGTTTCTTGATGTCGTTCCAAGATCACTGTATTAGAGGCCTCAGCCTGACCGTTGCTTTGCGGGTACGCCGGTGAGGAAAAATAGGGATGGATACCGTATGTATTACATAACTCCCGATAGACGCCATAATTGAATTGGGTGCCGTTGTCAGATACCAATGCTCTCGGTATGCCAAATCGAGTTATAATGTTTTTCCATGCAAAGCGTTTAACATCAACATCTCGAATATGTGCCAATGCCTCTGCTTCGAACCACTTCGTGAAATAGTCTATTGTGACGATCAGGAATTGTTTGTTTCCCGAAGCTCGCGGTAATCGTCCGACGATGTCAAGTCCTCATTGAGCGAACGACCAAGGACTAGTAACGGAATTTAATTCTTCGGCAAACAAACGAGTTAATGGGGGAAAAATTTTGATATTGTTTGCATTTCTTTACGTATTTCTCGGCATCAGTACGCATGGTCGGCCAATAATATCCCTGTGTTATGGCTTGGTGAGCCAATGAGCATCTTCCAAAGTGAGCACCGCAACTACCTTCATGTATTTCAGCCAAGAAGTCCTCAACTTTGTCTGGGTGAATACAATCCAAATACGGCCCAGAGAGAGATTTTTTGTACAGCTTTCCCTACGGATCCAAATAATATCGCAGGGCTTTATTCCGCAATTTGTGGGCTTCTTTCTTATCTGTTAGAAACTGCTCTAAGGAAAAAAATGCGGCCATAGGGTCTATCCAACTCGGTCCTGACTCAATGATGTTAATCTGAACTGTTTCAAAAAAAGTGATACTCGACTTTAGGACGAACC